TATTGCTGCGTTTCCTTAATTGAAATATTTTTTTCCCCCGGACACGCAAACGAGATGAAACGTCTCATTTACAATGGTGTTGGTGGCAGTGCCGACTTGAGAAATCACTTTGCAATGTGTTATGTAAATGACGCAGCGCACACACATGCACTAACGCAAACAATGTGTGTATATAAAGAGAATATATGAAGTCAATGTCAGTTTTTAACAACGCGCATAGTTCCCGTACACGTTGATTATCAAGCACTGCGTGCCTAGAAGAAACAAAGCCACTAATGGGCGCCCCTGAACGGCGCTCAATGTGGGGCCACACGGCTGATTGTTTAGCTCACACAAGTGCCCAGAATATGACCTCTACACAGCCAAGTAATTCTGGAGCCGAATACATCAGCGAGCAAACATCCAGTGAAAGCAATGCTTTCTATTCCCATCGTCCGGACGTAAGCCAATAGCTGGAGCCGATACTACCAGACATCCACTCCTTGGCGCAGCTTGTGTGCTCCAGCAAGGTTGAAATTGTAAAATCAATGACGTTGTTTTTTTGTAGGCTTGACACATACGGGGGCATATCAGTAACGGAATGTGCATTACATTCCTAAGACCGAGGTATGAGGAAGCAAAGCGCTGGGGCAGCTGGTCGAAATTAGTTAGTGGCGGGATTTTAAAAAATACACACACTCGCAACTTTGGTTTTTCAATAAATACCGTTAGCAATGTCCAACATTAACACTCGTATTTTGTTCGTCGATTATTTTAGACAAATTTGCCTTCCAAAATGAATCCAAAAACGTTGGTTGGAATAGCTTTATTTATTTTCTCATCATCCCCCATCCACTGTCCCCGCAAAACCAGGCTTCATAAGGCCCCGTACACATTGCCGCTTTGGCTTTCTATCCTGCGGCCGTCGTTCACTGCTTGTCGAATGCATAATACGTGCGCAGGCCATCGCTCGATATGAACCGCCGTTTGCTTTGCTCTGGTGCCACTTGTTTCTTTTCAACGTTTGGTTCGCATTCACATCGCCTAGCTTCTCAAATCGAGGAAAATCTACGCACCTCTCTCCGGCAGATTATATGCCGCGCCGTTGTGGAGCGTGACGGGGAAATATTTTTGCACACATTTTCATTTTGCTCGAAATGACAATACGGAGCGCTTTGCTCTGGACCGAGTGTCAATAACATTGACAATGATGAAAAAAAGTAAGTACTCCATAAATACCCAATTATCCTATCCCAGCATTTGCTATGAACAAGATATGCAACTAACAACACACATGGTCACCGACCCTAAAACCTGAAGCATTATCATAAAATTGTTGAATTGTGTTGAAACAATGTTTTTGCTGGACAATAGCTCCACCAGTTTCTTTTATCGCCGTCATAAAAAAACCGTTTCGAGATACTCGAGCGCATTTGAAACCGATGTCTCAAGGCAGGCACGAAAGTCAAAGCACCGCGTTTAATTGCGTTAACTTCCTCGTGCATTACAAACGACGTCGGGTAGGATGGCAGCTCGCAAAAAAAAACGAGATAAAACGAATTTTTGCGCTTGAAAGAAACCCGTGTGGGTCTGATGCAAATGTATTCTCAATAACCACGGACGTTGATAGCATTAAAACCACACATCACACCACCAGTGTCTCAATTCGGCTTCAGCTGGTGTTTGCGACGGCACATGTGCGCGTCAAAGTCGTTTGACAAAGGCTGTAATTTAAGAATCACTTATGCCTCCAGAAGCTTTTAAAAAAGCAACTGTGCCAGTTGTTACTGTCCCATTATGCAATCCGCAGTCATTACTGTGCAAATTCACCTGGGTTATAAAATAAATTAACATCAGACATGAATGAAATTGACGGATAGTAAAGCAATTTTCAATAATATCATCAAATGCCAAGGCAGAAGTACAGTTCGGGGAATAATTTTTTGGCTTCAGAAAAAATATGACAGGCTGCTTTTACTTCAGCAATAAACGGAGGTTTGTAATAGGCTTTAAAGCCAATAATATCACATTTCACAAATCCATGCCAACACCAATGACAACATACAAATTAGGGTAGGAGGCTCCAGAATCACAACATTTTTCATTTAGCTTTTTTTGTTTTCATCAATCGGGGCCCAGCAGCAAGCGTGCCTGACTGATGAGGCATGCCGACAAAGGAATGCATTTATTGGACTGTTAAAATTTCACATCTTCCCAAACACCCTCCAAAAAGTGACAAGAAATTATAATCTATGAATTTTACATTTGTTTTCAACATTAAGAAAGATGTATGCATTTTGATTAAAACACTTCCACAAATAGGAAAAGAAATTCAATGTAAAACGCTCTTCCGCCAAAATACAAGATAAATTGATACGTTCAATATGGTGAGTCTGAGACCCTGCTTTATAAGACATTTATCAGAGATTTGTCTTAGAGGTGCAGCTACGCAGTGTGAATTAGGATGACCCACCATGTAAGCCATTCTTGGCCACAGGAATTTATTATGCCCTAAATTAGGTCTATTTAAATGTTAATGATCTATTAAATAGTTTTGCGCAAGACACACTAACCAATAGGTCAGTGCCAATTCTAAACGATAATTTGCCTCAGATGGATCAGTGTGGTAAAGTGCTATGTATTAGACATCCACATTTTCATCATGAGCCAGGCATTGAATGCAATGAAGAAAATTGGTTTTAGAATACGGTAAATGTCAAAAACAACACAGGGTGACATACGTATAGACAGATCCATTCCTCAGGGCTAGGGTTAGTAACTCCCTTATTAAAATGCAACATAAGGTCCCCACAGGAACTGATGGCAAATCCATGGTGAAATTCCAAATTATGTAAATGTAACAAAACCTCTCGGGAATTACCTCACGACTCTGTAAGGCCAGCCCCCAGGTTTAAAGCAAGAGGTCTGCACAAATGTGTGCCTCCTCTATGTGCAACAACGAATGCATTTGTCAAAGTAACAATTATATTCAATTCTTTCTGTTTTCACGGCAAAGACAGGACAACCGGGTAAATCACCAAAAAAGCAAATGACACGTCTTCCACTTAATTGTCAACGAACAATTGAAACGGAAATTTTAAAAAAAATCCCCAGTCTTTCTCTGGCAATGTTGAGAGATATAAAAACAAGTTATGTTAAGCAACATTTTCCATTCATCCAGTATTCTCAGCTGGGGATATCACATTGGCCACGCTCTTCTAGTCCTCGGAATGTGTATATTTTTACATGAAAGAGTACACACCTCAGCGTTATAGGCAGATTGGAAAAGAAAAAAGCAATAAATTATTTATGAAAAATAAGTTTTCTTACACAGCCCAAAAATTACACCAGATACACGTGCTTATTGATAACATACGTGACCACATTACTCAAGTAAAACACGATTATATAGCAGATGACCCTGATGACATCAATTTCCTTGCTGCCCACTCCATGACATAATGAGCCAATGTGCACAGTACTCTATACAGACAAGAGACTTTTTTTTTAAGCAGATGAAATTATTTTTCAAAACACAATTGTGGTATAATTACGGTGTCACCTTAACAAGATTGCTGACATGCCCAAATCCAACCGGGACTGATCAAAATGTCAACAAGCTAAATTTGATGACTAGTGATCCAGATGGAAAAAACACTGAACTTTCATATTAAAAAACAACAACTTCAAACTTACTCTCGGCGTACACAGGTACAGAAAAAAATAAAACCCTGGCTAAGAACTCGACCACACAAATCTTGAACTTAGTTCACCGTTGTACTGCTGGCAAACGGACACAAAGGCGATTATTGCCGTCATTAAATGAGGCCACGGTGTTCAAAGTGCAACACCCACACGCATTGCAGGACACTGGTAATTTTAAAGACAAAGGTGCACTCTTTGCAAGACGTACGAATAGTTAACAACCCATGGACACTGGTGGATGTCACTTGTACAGTTAATGGCACCGCAGCGCGTATTGCAGGTCAATGGAATTGTTCATAGGCGCAAGAGTCGGTTTCTAGACGTAATAATTGGTAACACAATGCATGTTAAGCTAAGTACTTGTTTTATAACGCGTGCCCAACTCAAACGCAATGACCACGCGCAGCCACTTAGCCCGTGTTGTTATGAAAAGTGATGTTCGTGAGCATCTATTAAGACTGGCACAAACCATGCAAGGGGGTTGTATAACCAACACCACATTCAGCTTGCCGCCATTGTTTCTCCTGTTTGGACATTCATAAAATCATGTCCGAGGCAACCTAATGGTGGCCCAGGCAAGGTTTAGATACCATTTGACAATGGTGTTGTGCATTGCCAGTAATTGAAGCCTGGTCACTCGAACTTTAGAGCAGTGCACTAACCACTACAATATCACTTTGAACACATAAAAAAATATATATAGCCATTAGTGACTATTGGAGCAAGTGCTGTCAGCAAGCACCCATTAACGCTGACACGGCACATGAGCCTTTGTCTCCCGAGTGGTAATGTCCAAACAAAGAATCAAGTACAAATGTTTGGCTGAGTCAACCTAAGAAAGCCCCAAGACTGTTTCAGATACCACTTGCAACTGGCATTACAGTCTCTGAAAAGTGAACCCAGGTCACCGGAATAGTAACATGTACAGGTGTAGTAACATGTACAGGTGTAGTAACATGTACAGGTGTAGTAACATGTACAGGTGTAGTAACATGTATCGGTGTAAACTCACTCACCAAAGTACTGGCCCTTGTTACATCGCCCAGGGACCTATGTCCAGTTGCAAAAAACACCTCAAGTGACTTTGGAGGTACCATATTATCTGGTTTAGAAGACACACTTTTTCCCCCTGGCATCTTATAATCCGGTAGGGTGGTGTGCGAGTGCGTGTGCGCGCGAGACCACATTTTGGCCACGTTATTCACACCAGACACGCGTTCCAGGCAAGTTCCAGAGTGCCCTACAACCCAGAGACTACGGCATTTTACACGACTGGCCAGTGGCATGGCCACAAGCGTCCTGGGGAGGGCACGCACCTGCGGCTGGGCGGACGTGAGCTGGCGGTGCAGAGAGTCCCTCTCGTGCGTCGCCTCCTGGTAGCGTGACTGCATGGCGACCAGCGCCTCCTGGCTCTCCCGCAGGGTGTCCAGCAGCTTGTCGCGCTCATCCAGCATGCTCACCATCAGCTGCTCGAAGCTCGCATCGTCCGAGCCCTGCGAGCCGCGCCGGGCGGGCCCGTCCTCGCTGATCGTCGGCATCACCTCGCACATCATCTTGGCTGTCGCTGAGAGCTACGATGCAATAACACTGCACCACGCAACAGTGTGAATATAAAAAAAAGACAAAGATCCCCCATATAGCCGTTAACAGACTGTTGGGACAAGCGCTGCTAGATAGCACCTATGAAGGCCGGCATGGCACACGAGGGGGTGGGTGGCCAGCACCATGCCTGACTGCCTCGTGGCAATGTTTACAGATTACACCAGGTACTCATTTAAGGCCAAGTCGCCCTAGGGGAGGCCCAGAGACCAGTTCGGATAATTGTCACTGGTGTTGGCCGTGAGCGGGAATCAAACTCGAGTCACCAGGATCGTAGCGTAGCTGAGTACCTGGTGTAATCTGTAGCTACACTAACTCTGAATATGATAAAAAGATATACACACATTCACACAAAGATCTCTATTTAGACTTAAAGAGTGTGGTAAGCACTGATTAGGGATGGCATTGCAGAACATTGCCCGACCACCGTTGTCTGCCCACGGCTCGTCTTTTAATACTGCAACACAATGTTGTCAGAAATCATATTGCAATACATTAAGAGTTAGACAGCACTCCAAACACACACGATCATTTACATACATACACATACAGACAAATGTACAATTCATACTAAGCCAAATATTCCCCGTGTAGCCTTAACAGGCTATTGGGACAAGTGCTGTTAGCGAGCACCTATGAAGGCCAGCACGGCAACCGAGGGGGTGGGTTGCCAACACCACGCCGGACCGCCTTTGTCTCTCCCGTGGTGATGTTTACACATCGCACAAGGTACCCATTTCAGGTCGAGTCGATAGTTCATACATACGCATACAAAGACAAAGACATAGATCCCCTGTATAGCCTGACCACTGTTGGGGCAAGTACTGTTAGTGAGCACCTATGAAGGCTGGAACGGCACGCGAAGGGGTGGGTGGTCAACACCACACACGACCGCCTTTGTCATCCCCAGTGACAATGTTTTTACACACAGCACCAGGTACTCATTTGAGGCCGAGTTGACCTAGGGGTGGCCCAGGACCGGGAATCGAACTCGGGTGGCCGGGTTCGTAGCGCAGCACGCTAACCGCTACACTACCACCTCCCCACAATGACGCATACATACACATACATACACTAACGCATACACATACGTGCACAGTATTTCCTACACAGCTAGGCATGTATTCATAGGTCGTAGCAGCACATCGTGCTCCTTAGAATGACAATTGCACTGCCCTATGGCAAACCGTGAATTTAAAACACACGCACATTTACACCACACCACGCTAGAAATGTATACAATCTATTTTATATACACGTACATCACCGTCAAATGTTGCCCTCTGTAATGTCGTATAACAAAACCGTTACACGGATATGCACGTGAACATAAATTCCACTTATGCCCGAAATGCAGTAAAACTGAATGGAGTCGTCAACCCATCATGACTGACTTCATGGAGACGGCACAAATGATACTTTTACACTCACCATACAGCTCCAATTACAGCAAAATGCGACAACCCAAAATGCACCCGGGTGCAAAATAAAGGACAACCACCCTGCAAACGTCATTATACACAACGTGCACATACAGTGCGCTGCATATAAATCACAGTTTTGCGATCAGACATAGCACTCCAATGCCATCACTGCTATGAAATTGTATTAAAACGTGACAGCGCCGTCAATAATTAACCATAATGGGATACTTCGGCATAACTTTACCTGTTTTTGTATCACTAATGAATCTTAAGAATGATATCCGACAGCTCCATGTAGAGTCTACGAAATAAGAGGTAGTGGTTTTTGTTTAATCTTCATTCAATTTGCATAGAAATCTCCCTTTTGAAGATGCATCTTTAAGCATTTGTTGATTTCATGTCTATGGGCTTATGCAGCACTGTACACCCTATACTGCATGCTTGTTTCCGTGTGTAACGACCAACCTATATTGGGGCGATTAATAACAGCACAAGTACTGTGGCGAGTAAGCGTTGCCCTTTGAAGAGGCGCTTGGGGAGAACACAGGCACATGATTTAGAACATTTAAAACAACTCCATGATGTTAGGCACATCGCTGACTCTTGATCATGTTGTTTAAACCTTGCTCAAGCATCACGGGGTCTCCCCTCTGCTTATGATTTTCACATAATGCTGAGCCTCAGGAGGTTGACCGAGTTTGGTTTTGGTTTTCCTGCTTCGGTGGGGAACCGTTACTTTGCTAAGTCTTGGTATGGCAAGGGTAGGTAGGCTATTGTCTTCTGTTTAATGTAAAAGTTGTACATAACGGTCTTTGTTTATTATACTTAGCTCATCGACACATTCATCTTTGATATGGAGGTTTTGCATTTATATATAAACAGATTGCCAACAAGATTATATAGTTTACTAACCCTAAAATTCAACTAATGCCACGTAAGACATGCCTCAACATTGTTACATAATGCCCGAAAATAAATACTCCATTTGGCAAATACTGCATTTCTCGATATAACGGTGATCCCCTTCTTATTGAACAATATTGCTTTTGCTAATCATTTTAAAATAATCCCTTTCTAGTCAGTTTATAAAAAAAAGCTTTTGAATTCATTGCTAGGCCATTGTAGTTTAAGCTACGGCTCATTTACGTCATTTCCATTTAATTTCGTATTTCTCATGTATTGTGTATCTCGTTTGTTTGATCCCGTGTTGCAAATATAAGTTGTATCCTGTGCCCCAATTCTCCCTGCAGAACAGACATTTGATCTCAAATGGCTCTCTGCCTTTTATTTACTCAGGAAAGACTCACTAAGACTCAACACTCTTGTTCAAGATGATAATGGTCATGTTTGATCTCCTCCCTAGATTAATTTGAATTCCCCATACCTGTCAACCCCTTATCAGTGCCTGCCTTATTACAGACCAATTAAGACCTGATTGGTCACGCCATACCCTTATACATCTCAAAGTTCACCCTACAAAGTCCCATCACACGGGAGGCACACAAACAAATAGACCGAATTAATTTATATTCTTAGGTTTTTTCGGTAAAGTCACGTAGGTAAAACATTAAAATTAATAAAAGTAAAATTAAATAAAAATCACGACGTTTCGGAGGCAACACAAGCTTCCGTCTTCAGGTGATTTTTATTTTATTTTACTTTTATTAATTTTAATGTTTTTACCTACGTGACTTTACCGAAAAAACCTAAGAACATGAATCCTTGCAGTCACGAAAGCTTCAAATCTAGAATTAATGCGTTAATTTATTTTGCCGGTATTGAAACGTCTGTACGTCGTATGGACCTGAAAACTTACATTTCCCTGGACAAGAATGCGGGTTAAGGCGTGTGGGTTGACAGCTATGATCCACAGGCATAGCTCATATCCCTACTGATATCTCCTGGCCACCGAGCAGCCCAACCTCCCTGAGCAGGAGCATTAGTCAATTATTCTTTGAAATTTATTATAAAATTAGTTGTATACCGAGTGTCTGCTACTGCTGTGTGCTGTACAGCGCTTTAAGATATTTGATGCAAAACGCTATATAAATGTAATTACTATTGTAACGCGTTGATTTGGTTTTAATTTAATTCCAGCAGTGACAAATAGAACGCGTGTACACAAAAAACCCCACAATTATCACGTTCTCCACTGCATTGTTATTTTAACAAGCATAGACAAATAAAATTAAAAATAAGAAGCGTCTACAATACCGGAGGGTTCTCTGTCCCGGGGCTGGCTCTTGAAGACTCCTGTCACACCGGGGGACACCGACGTTAGGCCCTGCAGACCACGGCGCTCGCCTAGATTCCCCGCCGACTTAGGGCGATCCTAACCCGGCCGGGACGGGCAACGTAGAGGGGGTGACCCCGGTCGACAACGGCGGCGGCGACGGAAAGGAACGTGCGGCCACTCCCTGCGAGAGTCCGTCATCGAGGCAGTCGACGAAATGCGGGAGGCGGCATTAATTCGCGCGGCGGAGGAAGAGGGGGTAAATGACCTGAATGAGTGTCAAGAACAACACAAAACAACCACAGAATGTGGTGTTCGTCAATGCGGAGAGCGAATGCCGAGCGGCGGCGACGCGGCGACGCTTGACACTTTGACAGGCGGAGACCCACAATGCAGCGCGCGGGCGCACACGTTCACAACCCACCCCACACCCACCCCCACCACCATCCATCCCACCCCTCCTCCCACCACCCCCCCACCCCTCCTCCCACCACCCCCCACCCCTCCTTCCACCACCCCCACCCCTCCTCCCACCACCCCCACCCCTCCTCCCACCACCCCCACCCCTCCTCCCACCACCCCCACCCCTCCTTCCACCACCCCCACCCCTCCTCCCACCACCCCCCCACCCCTCCTCTCCTCCCACCACCATCCACCCCTCCTCCCACCACCCCCACCCCTCCTCCCACCACCCCCACCCCTCCTCCCACCACCCCCACCCCTCCCCCCACCACCCCCACCTTCCTCCACCACCCCCCCCCACCCCCTCCTCTCCTCCCACCACCATCCACCCCTCCTCCCACCACCCCCACCCCTCCTCCCACCACCCCCACCCCTCCTCCCACCACCCCACCCCTCCCCCCACCACCCCCACCCCTCCTCCCACCACCCCCACCCCTCCTCCCACCACCCCCACCCCTCCTCCACCCTCACCCCACCCCTCCTCCCACCACCCCCACCCCTCCTCCCACCACCCCTCCTCTCCTCCCACCACCATCCACCCCTCCTCCACCCTCACCCCACCCCTCCTCCCACCACCCCCACCCCTCCTCCCACCACCCCCACCCTCCCCCCACCACCCCCACCCCTCCTCCCACCACCCCCACCCCTCCTCCCACCACCCCCACCCCTCCTCCACCCTCACCCCACCCCTCCTCCCACCACCCCCACCCCTCCCCCCACCACCCCCACCCCTCCTCCCACCACCCCACCCCTCCTCCCACCACCCCCACCCCTCCTCCCATCACCCCCACCCCTCCTCCCACCACCCCCACCACCATCCATCCCACCCCCACCCCTCCTCCCACCACCCCCACCCCTCCTCTCCTCCCACCACCATCCACCCCCATCCACCCCCCACCACCCCCACCTACCCCCCAACCACCCCCCACCCACCCCCATCCACCCCCCACCCACCCCCATCCACCCCCCAACCACCCCCCACCCATCCACCCCCACCACCCCCACCTACCCCCATCCACCCCCCACCCACCCCCATCCACACCCCCCACACACACCCCCCATCCACCCCCACCAATGATCGTGTGAATGAATACAGAAACGCTCGCGGTGCGACGCGATTTCGGCGGCCATGTTGGGTAAGGTTACAAATGACAACACAAACTGCCACCGACACGGAGTCACGGTCTGATGATGTCACCAACGATGTATTGACGTGGGGGGAGGGGGGGGGGTACCCCCTCACTCCCTACGTAAGATGGCGGATCGTGCTGGTATCAGGTTGACGTGAGAGGGGGCGATTGACCTGTGCCGTTGGGAATTCGTAAACTTTGGCATGGACGAAACCATGACACACTTTAACATTCTTGAATTGCTACATTCTTTCGTAAAAAAATGCACGACTTTATAACACTTACTAAACTATCATCTCACAAATTATATATATTTTTCATTAATGTAATTTGCGAAAATTAAACATTTCGATCGAAACTAATCGTTGATATTTCTCATCGCGTAATGCCAAGACGTGAATGGTATCGACCGACACGTGTCACGTGTGCACCAATTGGAAGAATGTATGACGTGGCCAACCCAACGTCATAAAATTTTAATTACATGACGTCATCGCGGCTAAAAATATAAATGTGACGTCATGTCCCTCCCAACCACCCCCTCCGCACCGGCCGGGAGGAGGTTGAACCTTTGGTGGCAATGCTCGCGGAAAACGACGAAGTCAATAAATTATAAACACAACAACAACAACATTACCGTGTTGACAATCATACACACAAGAGACTCCCCCCGTATAGCCTTCACAGACTGTTGGGGCAAGTGCTGTTAGCGAGTAGCGCCTATGCAGGCTGGCACACGACCGCCTTGTATCCCCAGTGGCGATGTTTACTACGCCCCGCACCAAGCACTCATTTGAGGCTGAGTCGACCTAGGGGGGGAGGCCCAGGACCGGTTCAGACGATCGTCACCGGTGTTGATGGCCGTGAGCGGGAATCAAACTCGGGTCGCCGGGTTCGTAGCGCAGCGTCGCGCTAACCGCTCCACCACCGCTCCCCGCAACATCTTGCAAGGGCACGCATGAACACGTACACATGAACACGTCCACACTAACACATGAACACGTCCACACTAACACATGAACACGTCCACACTAACACATGAACACGTTAACAGGTACACACGTACACACGAACACGTACACACGAACACGTACGCATGAACACGTACACACTAACACATGAACACGTTAACAGGTACACACGTACACACGAACACGTACGCATGAACACGTACACATGAACACGTCCACACTAACACATGAACACGTTAACAGGTACACACGAACACGTACACACGAACACGTACGCATGAACACGTACGCATGAACACGTACACACGAACACGTGCACGTACGTATGAACACATGAACGCGTACACATGAACATGTACACACTAACACATGAACACGTACGCGTGAACACGTACACACGGACATGTACACACGTACACATGTGCAGGTACACATAAACGCGAACACACGAACACGTACGCATGAACACTTACACGTTGGCACATACACATGAACACGTACACACTAACACATGTACACGTGAACACGTACACATGAACACGTCCGCATGAGCACGTACACATGAACACGTACACACGAACACGTACACATGAACACGTCCGCATGAGCATGTACACATGAACACGTACACACTAACACATGAACACGTACACACGTACGCGTGAACACGTACACATGGACACGCACGTATTGTCGCACTGGCCACCGATAGAACGAATAGCCACAAAATAAAACAATGGACAATTGAGAACACGGCCGACTTTGATTCAAACCACGGACCGCACGGTATCAACGCGACTTTATTTCGGCTGGAGAAATCCGATGAGCTATGAAGCTCTTTCTGACACGTCCATTAAGGAGCGGGTCAGAAAGTGACAACAACAACAAAACTGATAATTGTTTTTTTACCCTTTTATCTGGCAACAAAACTGACACCTTTTTTTATAAGGAGTCATGTTTGCATAGACCACAATACTGCGGTCTGAATGCAAACAAAACACACAACTCTGATCATACTCTTAGTTCTTTCGGTAAAGTCACGTAGGTAAAAAATTAAATTAAAATTAATTCATTGTTTTATTTTAATTAATTTTTATTTCATTTTTTAGCTACGTGACTTTACCGAAAGAACTAAGAGTATGACTCCTTGCAGTCACGAAAGCTTCAAATCTAGAACTCTGATCATGTATGCACTGTCCTTGAAATTGATTGGTCCTCACCCGAGACAGCTTTCCTTAGAGCCTAGTCTCACATGGTGTTGGACCAGATGACGCCAAAAGGCACACAACTCAAAGACAATGCACCATCAGAGTATGAGAGCTCGGGGTAAGCATTTACACCATTGGAACCTCATTTGCCAGAAGAAAAAATATGATAATTGTTTTTGTACCCTTTTATCTGGCGACAAAACTGACACCTTTTTTTTTACAAGGAGTCATGTTTGCATAGACCACAATACCTGGAGTGGTAATGCAAACAAAACACATAACTCTGATAATGTTTGCACTGTCCTTGAAGTTGATTGGTTCACACCCGAGACAGCTTTCCTTAGAGCCTAGTCTCACATGGTGTTGGACCAGATGACGCCAAAAGGCACACAACTCAAAGACAATGCACCATCAGAGTATGAGAGCTCTCATACTCTGATAGTGCATTGTGGTCTATGCAAACATGACTCCTTGTAAAAAAAAGGTGTCACTTTTGTTGCCAGATAAAAGGGTAAAAAAACAATTATCATATTTTTCTACTGGCAAATGAGGTTCCAATGGAACAAAAAAACTATACAAAAAACGATAGGGAGTGCAAAGCATAGAAAAGGTAAGCATGTCACTAAAAATAACTACGTAAAATAAAGTATGTAACGTCATTACTGGCAGCATATATACAATGTATACAAGTGTATGGGTGTCTATGCGAGTCTATGGCTCTCTAAGTCTATAAACCTCAATCTTGATTTGAAGCTTTCGTGACTGCAGGAATCCATACTCTTTGGTTTTTTCTGTAAAGTCACGAAGGTATAAAATAAATCACGACGTTTCGGGCGCAACACAAGTGAAGGATCTGATGATGGACGCTTTTGTTGTGCCCGAAACGTCGTGATTTATTTTAATTCTATAAATCTCTATGTGAGTTTAACATGTAGGCTTTCGCGACCAATATTATTCATAATCAACGTTTTTGGGTTTAGATCGCGTTATTTATAAATGTGTCGTAACCCTCCACCACCCGACACGGCCAATCAGTAAAAAATTGTCACGTTGACAAAAGACAAATAGTGGGCTAAAGCAGTGAACTATTTGTCTTTTGTCAACGTGACACTTCTTTACTGATTGGCCGTGTCGGGTGGTGGAGGGTTACGACACATTTATAAATAACGCGATCTAAACCCAAAAACGTTGATTATGAATCTCTATGTGAGTCTATATCTCAAACCAGGGACCACACAGGCACACGACTTATCAGCTTCGATCACCAGAATACTCGTGACACGAACACTACTGGATCAATTCCCCGACATGCGAAAGATGATTAGCAAAACATTTGCATTCCAGTACAACTTTTAAATGCCCTCTCGTAATGGCATCGCCCGTTGGGTTTCCTGTTATATAAGTACTGTATGAGGAGGCATTCCTCCACTTGTGTGATGTTTCTGGCAAATCCTTCACTCGTAAATAAAATAAAGAATATCTATGGGGCTGTCTTGGGTAGTAGCACACACAAATTGACCACGTGTATACATACAGCACACGCTGAGTGGTGTTGTAAGCACTGAAATACTGAACACGTATTTGAAAGTGCCTTAAGTGTATATATATCTGTA